CGCCAATAGTTTCTCAATATAAAATATCCAGTCATTATTCACATTTCCAAGTAGGTATGTACCTATGTGTATGTGTATACTTTTGTGTACAGTAATCTGAGGAGCCCTGGTGGCTTAGTGGGTTACACATTGAGCTGCTAACGGAAAGTTCAGCAGTTCAAGCCTACCACCTGCTCTGTGGGAGAAAGATTTGTTCAAAAGGGCATTTCTTCCATGTTCCATGAGGTCCCAGTGAGTAGGAATCAACTTGAGGGCAGTGAGTTTGGTTTTCAGTGTGGTAGACTGAGTGTGTGTATTTTTAATCATAAAGATTAATGGAGGACTGTATTAGCTCCCTAAGCTTGTACGTCATGCTGACTCTATGAGGAAGCTTATTATGTGTTGCAACATGTAGCCCGCAGAGACTGGAAGCATAAAGTAATTTGTGCCAGTGGTGGTTTTGCTATTGATGTAAATGACTGTGTGTGTATTTAATATTACCAGGATGCCATGAATCATAGCTAGTTAGTATTGTTCTGCTATTGTAACATTTGTTTTTCTTTTCTTCCCTCCATTCCTTCTTATTCCTCTGGGACTGTTCTGTCTCTAGCTGCACGTAACTACTGAGCACTTGAAAGCTCCCAACTGAGATGTTTGCTATAAATATAAAGTCCCTTGGATTTCAATTACTTTTAATTTGAGAGAAAAAGCAAAATCTTTCTAATACTTTTATATATTAATTATGTCTTGAAATGATCATTTGGATATATTGTTGTTAGGTGCCATTGCATAGGATGTAATTCATAGTGACCCTGTGTACAACAAAATAAAACACAGCCCAGTTCAACGCTATCCTCACATTCTTTGCTGTGCTTAAGCCTATTGTTACAACAATTATGCCAATCCATCTCATTATTTTTCTTTTTGAAGACCCTCAACTTTATCTAACACCTGTCATTCTCCAGGGCCAATTCCTCCTGATAATATACATGAGACAAAGTCTGGCCATCCTCACTTCTAAGGAGCATTCTGGCTGTACTTCTTCCAAGACAGATGTGCTCATTCTTCTGTCAGAATGTATATTTAGTATTCTTTGCAAACACCCTATGTCAAAGGCATCAATTCTTCTCTGGTCTTCTTTATTCATTGTCCACCTTTCACACGAATATGAGGTGACTGAAACACTATGGCTTGGACCAAACATATCTTAGTCGTCGAAGTAATCTTTGTTTTGTAATGTTTTTTTTAACCATTTTATTGGGGGCTTGTACAATTCTTCTCACAATCCATACCGTTTTGTAATGTTTCAAAGAGGTCCCTAGCCCCAGGTTAGTTTGATTCATGACTGCTGCTGCTTATGAGTGTTAATTATGGATCAAATAAAAGGAAATCCTGGACAACTTTCATCTTTTCTCCACTTATCATGATGTAGCTTACGGGTCCAATTGTGTGGAAGTTTGTTTTCTTTACTTTGAGATGTACTCCATACTGAAGGTTGTAGTCATTGATCTTTGTCACTAAGTACTTCAAGTTCTCCTGGCTTTCAGCGAGTAAGGTTATGTCATCTGCATATTACTGCAGATTTTTTAAAAGAATATATTGAGCCCAAGAAGCTGTTAGAAATCAATTCCATAGTTTTCATGAAAATGATTCAATTAGATTTCTCTATAACTATAAAACTGCATATAAAAATTCTTGATAGTATTTTATGATCCTTCATTTTCTTAAATAGGGACTGTATTTCGTCATGCAGAATAGGTAGAGAAGATATCTAAAATATATTTTCTTTGGAAGAATAAGATCACATGAGAGACAAATACATCTTCAGATATTTCATTTCAAACTTCAGTAATCCCTAGACCCTGAAATAGTTGCAAACTCATAGTAGGGATTTATGCATATGGGGTTAAGTAGAGTAGTTGGGTGAAAAATCAATCAACTTTTCATTATTTTGTGGAAATGATTTACCCAGGAGATAGCAACTCTCTTAACAATCAGTGTAAAATCATGCATGTTGATTTCATCAGCTTGCTTTTATTACTAACTGAAACTTCGTGTACTTGTTTTTTGTAATTTAATGATAAGTACCTTTACTTAATTTAATTAAATGTTTTAATATTTGAAGTGGGGAAGGGCATTGATTAGGACTGCTTATTCTTCTGGGTTTTATCCCTATCTTTACCTTCTGCCACCATCTTGTTATGCAGTATCCTTGTGAGTTTGTGGGAATCTCTGGTGGAGGTGGGAAGGGCACTGTGCATCTCTCACCTAACTTGTATAATTGGTGTCCCTCTCTACATCTTTACAGTACATTTCCCTTAAACCTTCTACTTCTCATACTACTTGCCCTTTTATCTAATGTTGCTGTAATAGAAATTTATTCTCTCACATTGTAAGGGACTAGTTTGGATTCAGGCACCAGCTGTCAGGGAATGTCTTTGTCTCATTTTAAAAAGAAGTCTGTGCCCTTTCTTTGTCTTAGCCTCAGTCTTTCCCCGAGTATAGGAGATTCTCAACACAGAGATCCTGGATACAGAGGACATGTTCTACTCCCAGCTGGAAGTATTCCAAAGCTTGACAGTACTCAGCCCCCTCACCTCTCTCTCCTTTTTCCTCTTCTAACATAAACAATGTGACTCAAGCAATGGTGTAACTTGAGCAAGGATATTAATTTGAATAAGGGTAGGACTTGAGTCATACCCTCTTGTAAGACTGTTAGTCAATGTACAGTTCACCCTACTCTTGCCTCATTAACATAGTACCAAAAAAAACAAAACCCACTACCATCAAGTCATTTTAAACTCATGATACCTTTATTATATAGAGCAGTGATTCTCAATGTTCCTAATGCCACAACCCTTTCATACAGTTCCTCATGTAGTGATGACCCCCCAACCATAAAATTATTTTCACTGCTACTTCACAACTGTAATTTTGCTACTGTTATGAATCGGGCAACCCCTGTGAAAGGGTCAGTCGACCCCCCCTAAAGATCGCAACCCACAGGTTAAGAACCTTTGATATAGGGTTCCAGAGACAATAAATCTTTATGGGAGCACTCAGCCTCATCTTTCTCCCAAGGAGAAGCCATGATTAGCAGCCCATTGCCTAGCACCACAGAGTTTAGAATCTGCAGTGCATATTACAAAGCAGAGGATAGTTACATGAGATCACAAAATGGAAGACAATACGGGGAATCATGTCATACCCAAATTGACATATTCTGAGGGGACTCAATTCATTCTATAACACTACTTGTTATCTTTGTCTTTTTGATTGAACTTCTGCAAGCTTCTTTCCTGCAGAGTAGATATGGTGAGCTTTGTAAATCTGACTTCCTATATAAATATTTTTTAACTTCAGGTTCTCTAATCTTTCCTGCTCCCAGAATACTTGTAAACACTTTGCTCCCAATAACCTCTCCCTGAATGATTAATTTTACAGATAATATCACTATGACTTCTTTGAGGCCAGGAAATGTTCTGTTCTCAGACCTCCTTCAGTAAACAGCTGTGGTTCAGTTTGGCCAGATTCATTAAACACCTTATTCATTAAACACCTTATTCCAAGAAACCATTGCTGCTGATAAACCATATCTCTATCCTGCCCAAGTAAAGAGGGCTGGACAGAGAGAGCTAAGAATGGAGTCCAAAGGCACAGAAAGGGAGGGTGGCATGGCTGTCATTGTCCCCATTAACCACAATGGGAAGCTTGTTGGGTGGTGCAGTACTTTGTATTTTGCTGTCTATGAAACAGTCATTATGGACTAGTATATGTGCATATGAACTCACTAAACCACACTCATGTGTGATTCACTTAGATATTTAATGTTGTATTCACCTCCTTCCCAAGTTTTTATTTGTTTAAGCCTTGGAAAAAGTCCACTATATTGATTTACTCAGATTTCGATTTCTAATTTGGTCTCTAATTTGTGATGAAGAGCATGTGCTTACCAGGCATGATATTTGGTTTTGCCTCTTAATGACCATGTGACTTTGTGCCACTCAAGCAGAATTAGGATCCATCAAACAGAATTAGGACCCACACTACTCTATGATCTTATGTTAACTGATAACATTTTCAAAAGTTAGGCATAAAAGGCTAGAAGGTCTGTTTCAAAACCATCAACTGCTCTTCAGAAGAATGATGAGACTGCTCTTGTAAAGATTTACAGTCTTTTTAAAGTTAAATATTTTTAATCCTATTTTTCAACAGCTTTGTTGGCACATAATCCATATGTCATCTGATTCAGCGGTTCAATCACATAAAGAAGAGTTGTATGATCATCACCACAATCAGTTGTAGAACCTTATCTTCATTCTTGTACTCATGAGTTCCCCATTTATTGAGAATCCTGTGGTCCGTATCAGCTCAATGGCAGTGGGTTTAGTTTGGGGTATTGCCAAACAAGGTCATGTACAAAGGTACCAGGGTGTCTGTCTTTTTAGTCATTTGATTACCATCATCATGGGTTAGGTATATAGACTATTGAGAGATGAGGTGAGGCTGGCGGGTAAATAACTTGAGATATGGAGTTTTACTGCTGGAGTGATCATGGAATTCCCTTCTCTTTTTTTCTCCTTTAGCTGACCTGGATTTCAGAGAGCTTTCCCAGAAAAACATGGCCCTGGGGTTCCCAGGCATATTGCTGGTAGAGCGCCACTGGAAACTGTTTGAATCTGGGAGGGGCAGGAAGGCACGCAGCTCAGGCCTGTGATGGAGGAGGTGGAGCCCTGAAGCTGAACTAGAGCTGTGGCCTGCTTCCTTCTTCCTGGGTTACAAGCTGGTGACTGGAAAGCAGATCCCTTAGTGAGCTGTCTTCTTGGCAGACAAACATTTGATAGCCCAGCCAACAAGCTGAATGCAGCCTTCTGGGACAGCAGCTTTGAATTGGCTATGAAAGAGGCTGCTCTTCCCAGAAAGAAATGCACTTTTTCCCTTTTCTCTCCAAACATGTATTCTGTCATTTCTTGTAAGTTGTCAGGTTGTGGAGTTTCACTTTGTGTTTGTCTCCCCGGCAGGCAGTTTTGGTGAATAACATCACCACAGGGGAGAGGTTCATCAGGACCCTGCAAGGTAAGCCCAGACACCCTACACCAAAGTTTCCTCTGTCCTCCCCTCCATTCTTGGGTAGATCCCTTATTATAATCTGATGATGAGTAGTAACTGAGCAATTAAGTAACCTTTAGTTTCTTCTTTCTGCCTAAATACATTTCCTTAAATGTACTTTTCTTTTAAAATTATTGTTGAATGAATATACATTTCTAGCTGTTACGGAATTCAGACTCTCATCCTGTTCACATATATGTGTGTGTGTATTGTATGTGTGTTTATATGTGTATGTGCATGCACATATATAAAGAAAGGAATGGCTCTTCTGAGGAATTGGCCACTGAAAACCTTATGGAAAGCATTGCAACATTGCCAGATACCGAAAACCTCATAAATAGAAACAGACTATCAGTAGGCACTCAAAATATGACCAAAGAGGAGCTGCCTTCTCAAAGTACTTGACCATAATGACATGAATGTTGTATAGCATTCAGGAGTAAAGCCTTTGCGACCTTCATTTGTTGATGGGGCATAACTCAAAATGAGAAAAAAGCTGCAAACATCAATTCTTAATTAGAACTTGGAATATATTAAGTTTGCATCTAAGAAATTTGGGAGCTGTAAATAATGAAATGAAACAAATAAAGATAGATATTTTAGGTGGTAGTTGCTGAAATGGACTTGGATTGGCCATTTGGAATCCGAAAAGCATGTTTTACGGCACTGTAAATGACAGATTCAAGAGGAATGGCAGCATACTCATCATCAAAAAGGACATTTCAAGATCCTGAAATGCTGAATTACAATGCTGTCTGTGATAAGATAATATCTATTTGCATACAAATAAATTCAATTAGTACAACTATTATTCAAGTTTACATGCCAACTATTACAACGAATTATGCAGAAATTGGATTTTACCAATGTTTCCATCTAAAATTGATCAAACATGCAATCAGAATGCAAAAGTTGAAAGGAAAAGAGGAACAATAGTTGGGGAAATATGGTCTTAGTGATAAAAATCAAAGCTGGAGATCACCTGGTAGAATTCTGCAAGACCAATGACTTGTTCATAGAAAAATCTTTTTCCAACAAAGTGGTGACTGTCCATGTGGACTTATCCAGATGGGATCCACAGAAATTAAATGGATTATGTCTGTAGGAAAAGATTATGGAGAAGCTGAATATCAGCTAAATGGAGGCCAGTGGTAGTCTGTGGAACAAACTGTCAATCACTCATAAGTAGGTTCAGAATAAAGCCGAAGAAAATTTAAATAAGTCTACAAAAGACCTTGAATAGATCCCACCTGGATTTTTAAAAATCATTTTATTAGGGGCTCATACAACTCTTATCACAATCCATACATCCATTAATTGTATAAAGCATATTTGTACATTCGTTGCCCTAATCATTCTCAAAACATTTGCTCTTCACTTAAGCCCTTGGCATCAGCTCATTTTTCCCCCACTCCCTCCCCACTCCTCCTTCCCTCATGCACCCTTGCTAATTTATAAATTATTTTGTCAGATCTGGCACTGTCCGACATCTCCCTTCACCCACTTTTCTGTTGTCTGTCCCCCAGGGAGGAGGTTATAAGTAGATCCCTGTAATCGGTTCCCCCTTTCCACTCCACCCTCCTTGTACCATCCCGGTATCGCCACTCTCACCACTGGTCCTAAAGGGATCATCTGTCCTGGATTTCCTGTGGTTCCAGTGGTCTAACCAGATTTATAAGGTATAATTGAGATGATAGTGGGAGTGGAGGAAGCATTTAGGAACTAGAAGAAAGTTGTTTGTTTCATTGTTGCTACACTACACCCTGACTGACTCATCTCCTCCCCATGAACCTTCTGTAAGGGGAAGTCCAGTTGCCTAGAGATGGGTTTTGGGTCTCCAATCCCTACCCCCCTCATTCACAACGATGGGATTTTTTGTTCTTTGATGCCTGATAACTGATTCCTTGGACACCTCGTGATCACACAGGCTGGTGTG